CCCAACCAAGATTCCAGTACAGGTGGAGCTCCACGTCCGGCGTCATGACATACTCCCGGTTGCCATTGAACTGGATCAGATGGCTTTCCAGGTCCTCCTCGTCGTTCATTTCCTGGGAACTCTGGAATCGCTCCGAGGGAGGTCGTGCCCGCACCCTTCTCAGCCTCTGGGGTATCAGGCGGCGGTCCCGATGGTGGACTCGGCGGAGTGGAGGCTTCGGTCGACTTGCCTCCTTGAAATCCCGGTCCTTCTCCTTGTAGGAGTCATCCACCTTTTTCTTCAAGTCCGCCAACTCCCTCTTGAGCATCGAATTCTGAGACATGACCGCTCTCAGGACTTCTTGGATGTCCACCCCCATCTCCTCAGCTCCGGATGCCATAGGCCTTGTCGTCGATGTAGATGCTTCCGGAAGGCCTGCAGGCCGCATGGCACGTAGCATGGCCTCGTCCTTGACCGTCTGGCTCCAAAAGGGGTTGACTTCCACTTGTCTCGAGGTCCCATGTCCCTTTCCGTCCTTCTTCGAACTGCCGTCCTCCCTCCGTTGAGGCCCGTAGGTCGTGGGAGGTCCATGTGGGAGCAGCGCTTGCGACGCCACCACCAGCGCGCCCTCGCTCGCCGCGATGTCCTCGATCGCCAGCGCCCCCTGGTCCTCCTTGGCACTCTCCATCGAGGACGTCGCCTCTGGAGAGTCCAAGCCAGCGCCGCCAGCTGCTCGAGCCATGGCGGCCAACAACTCGTGGATCGACGTGATCCAGCCGAGGTGGTCTTACAACCCTCGAAAACAGCCTGGGCTCATAACCTACGTGAGCGGTTCGCTCCTTTTTCTGCTGTCAAAAGGGCTTCGGGTGCATTTGATCATAGCCAAAAGGTCGTAACCCGGCTGGTGCGTGCTACACTTGATCATAGTCAAAAGGTCGTGACCCAGTTGGTGAATGCTACACTTGATCATAGCCGAAAAGGCCTTGACCCAGCAAAAACCGAACTTGGTACACTTCTTCATTTGTGCGGACTTCCACACATCCGACCCCTTGGCAAGCAGCAAAGTGCTGTGCCTGCCACGAGATCTGCACACGGAGGTTCACAAAGTGCTGTGCCTGCCACGAGATCTGCGCATGAAGGTTCGCGCCTGCAACGAAATCTCCACATCCAGCGCCGGTGCCCAGCCGACGCCAGGGCGTACATCCGACCCCTTGGCAAGCAGCAAAGTGCTGCGCCTGCCACGAGATCTGCGCATGAAGCTTCACAAAGTGCTGCGCCTGCCACGAAATCTGCACATCCAGCGCCGGTGCCCAGCCGACGCCAGGGCGTACATCCGACCCCTTGGCAAGCAGCAAAGCGCTGTGCCTGCCACGAGATGCGCTGCGCCTGTGAGTGGTGTTGCGTGTGAGACGATGTTGTGTGTTGTGTGTGAGATGTTGTTGTGAGAGATGTTGTGTGAGAGAGGTTGAAGGGAGATGTTGTGTGAGAGAGAGGTTGAAGGAGGAAGGAGGAAGGAGGGCGGAGGAGGAGCGAGGACGGAGGAGGAGCGAGGAGGTGCAGCAAAAAAACAAGAACCCCACACAACAATGTGGGGAACAAGAACCCCACACAACAATAGAGCGCCGGTGCCACGAGATCTGCGCCGGTGCCCAGCCGACGCCAGGGCGTACATCCGACCCCTTGGCAAGCTGCAAAGTGCTTCGCCTGCCACGAAATCTGCACATGGAGGGCTGCAAAGTGCTGCGCCTGCCACGAAATCTGCACATGGAGGTTCACAAAGTGCTGTGCCTGCCACGAGATCTGCGCCAGTGCCCAGCCGACGCCAGGGCGTACATCCGACCCCTGCAAAGTGCTGCGCCTGCCACGCAGCACTGCACGAAATCTGCACATGAAGGTTCCCAAAGTGCTGTGCCTGCCACGAAATCTGCACATGGAGGTTCACAAAGCGCTGTGCCTGCCACGAGATCTGCGCCGGTGCCCAGCCGACGCCAGGG